CCACCTACTTTGAAAATTGTGTTTTTTGCACAATGTGGAATCATGTGTGTTAATTCTTCAAACGAACAAAACTGTTACAATTGTTTGTTCGATTGTTTTTCTTTCTGTATTCCTTATGTCCTGATCGCATTCCGTTTGACAGAATTTGACGTGAATTATACAGGTTAAAACGCGTTAAAAATTGAGTTAACATAATGGAACCGGAACGAAATCACTATTCGTTTGACGAATTAACGGACATATTCTTATTTACGGCGAGTGTCAAATGAATCAAAGACAAGCAGCTGCACTTTACGCTCGAAAGTTTCCGGACAACGCCACCCAAACCACAGTTTTTTTCATTGCCTTGAAGAAAGATTAAGAACAAATGGACAATTTCGTAAATCTCGCAAGCCGCTCCATGTTCCACAAAGAAATCAGGAGATAATTGATGCAATTCAACAAGCTGTTGTCAGAAATCCTCACACAACCACGAGAGCTATTGCTGCGGATCTAAACATGAACCACATTACGGTTCATAAAATAATTAAACATTCGCTGGGTTTGCATCCATTCAAAAAACATACGACACACAAACTTGTACCTGCTGATATGCCACGACGTTTAAATTTCTGTGAATGGATTATTGATCACGTTAGTTTGTTTAAATTTGTTATTCTTTTATTATTTTATAATATACCAGACACATTGTTACCATTTATCAACTTGCATCGTCAACTTTATACTAAATTATTCAATTTCTGCAGGTGGATTTTAATAATGCCAGAAATGATATCTTTTAAAAAACATTTTGTGGACCGATGAAGCAATTTTCGGAAGTCATGGGCAGATAAATCGTCATAATAAGCATCATTATGCAGAGCAGAATCCACATTGTGTAAAGGAACACAATTTTCAAGACAAGTGGACAGTAAATGTGTGGCTCGGAATCGTAGGAGATCACGTCATCGGCCGTGAATTTATAGAAGGAAATGTGGATGCACAATATTATTCACAATTTCTTCACCACCGACTCGACGAGTTTTTGGGAGATGTGCCACTAGCTAATAGGCTAGAAATAGTTTTCCAACAGGATGGACATCCCGCTCACACGTCTTTTGTAGCGAGAACAATTTTAAATAGAAAATTTCCGCGGAGATGGATCGGGCTTCATGGTCCCCAGGATAGCCACCACAGTCTCCAGATCTTACGCCCATAGACTTTTTTGTGTGGGAATATTTAAAAAATGAAATCTATCAAACTTTGCCAGCAAATCAAGAAAATTTGCAAAATAGAATACGAAACGCATGCGCAGAATTATGTTATGTTTAGAAGAAGATGGTAATTTAATAGAACATTTATTATAAGCATTTAAATAAAAAATTATTTTATTTATTAATCTTTAATTGTTAATTAATAATAACCTTTATTATTTATTTATTTATTAAAAAAATCTTATTTATCTTTATTTTGTAAATTGTGTTATTTGTTTAATAATCGTTTAATGTTTACTAATTTTATTGTTATGTCGTTATTAATATTTCTATTATTAAACAACTCCTATTATATATATATTTTATTATATTATATATAATTAATAAATTATTATATATAATTGTATATATATTTAATTATATATATATTATTGAATCTTACACTATACCAGAATGGTAACTCAAATTTCTTTTGTCCTTATTTTTCCGCCGGACTTGCGATCTAACCTTATTCTGTACGGCCGGTAAAACATGCCCCTGCCAATAAACAAATAGGCAACCCGACTTACTGATCTGTATGTTGCGGAAACACCCTGTACATACATACGATATACGCTGATGTAGGTACATTTATAGATATACATAGGATATCGTATGGATATACATAGAATTAGTCATTAGTT